GGGGACCCGAGACGTGGCCTGCCACTCAACATCTGTGACCTGTTTCCCTGAGCCATCTTGTGACCACGAAAGGGGACCAAAGGGGGTTTATGTGCAGCTGGCAAGACCATTCTTTGTGAGGACAGAAGAACAAACCAAAAAACAAACAAACAAAAATTAACAGCATTCCTTGACTTTTTCCTGGTAAACTCTCTGATAAGCATCCTTCTAAATATCTGCAACGTGACAGTGTATGTTCACAGTTTAGTCTGAAACTAAAAGATGCTTAAAATACCTCCTAATGGATTCAAGGAAGATGAAATTATATTCAGTGTAGTTTCAAAGATAACTGTATGCGTTTCATTCCATGTATTTTGGATTGTATTGCAAATGTCGTTTCCCAGAAGTTTTCTTTGGTGCTAAAAACACATTTTATTTTCTCAAAGGAGCAATATTGTAAGTTGGGTCACTATATAAGCCTACAAAAGTGCCATTTTGTGCATCATGTATACTAAACTTGAGGCAGGCAGTACTCATTCGTTGCTGCCTAGCAGCTTATACCTCCCCCCAGCCTGCTTACCGAGATTTCAGGACAGGTACATGATTGCTCTGAACCGGTCAAAGTCATCTCATTTCTCTTCCCCAGCGACTAATCTAGGGATAGGCATGTGGTCTGGTTCTGGTCAGTGAGATGTGAGGGAGCTTCCTATCTGGAAGCCTCAGTTTTTTTGAGATGCTGGCAGGAATACATGGTGCCTGTGTATTGGCAGCAATCAACTACTCATGAGGTGACGAGCATGAGGAAAGACCAGAATGATGGAGACAGGAAAGGAGGGATGGAGATGACTGAACTGCCTACCTCCAGACTCCTTGTTAAGTGAGCCATAAATATCGTGTGATTTAAGCCACTGTTGTTTTGTACTTGTTATTTGCAGCTCAATGCACTGTAACTGAAACAAATATTTAGCATTCTTCTAGAGATTCATTCCAAACTCCAGACAAAAATGCCTGCAACATTTCATTCAATTCAACAAGCTTTTGATGTAGGCTAATGGGACAGACACCCTACAAAGCACAGCAGGTCACAAAGATGGCTCAGATATTTGCCTTTGCCTTCTAGGAAATAAACATGAAACTGATCTTAAGGGCCGGCCCAGTGGCGCTCTGGATAGTGCGCCGCTTGGGAGGCACCGCAGCGCTCCCGCCGGAGGGTTCAGGGTTTGGATCCCACATACAGACCGGTTCCCGCTCACTGGCTGAGCCAGGCGCGGGGGCAACACCGAGGGTTGCCATCCCATTGCCGGTCCCGGTCCGGTACGGGGGCGACACTGAGGGTTGCGATCTGTTGCCAGACATGGAAAAAAAACCAAAAAAAAAAAAAAAAAAAAAAGAAACTGATCTTAAAATTCATATGGAAAGGCAAGGGACACAGAATAGCCAAAACAATTTTGAAAAGGACAAAGTTGGTAGGAATTGCTTCTCCATTTCAAAACTTACTGCAATTCTGTAATAATCAAGACTATGTGGTACTTGCATAAGGATAGATATATAGATCAATGCAATAGAATTGAAAGTCCAGAAATAAACCTGTTCATCTGTGGTCAATAGATTTTTGACAAAGGTGCCAAGACAATTGAATAGGGAAAGAATAGTCTTTTCGATAAATTAGTGGGACAATTGGCTATCCACATGCAGAAGAATGAAGTTGGACTTCTCTCTCACACTATATACAGAAATTAACTCAAAATGCATTTTACCTAAATGTGAGAGCTAATACTATAAAACTCTTAGAAAAACATATGTATAAATCTTTGTGATGGATTAGGTGATGGTTTCTTAGATATGACACCAAAAGCACCAGCCACTAAAGAGAAAATAGATAAATTTGGGCCTAAGTTTGTGATAATTTGTTACAGCAGCTACTGGAAACTAATCCAGGTGCCCAGGACGAATGGGAAGTCATTACCATCCCTAGGCTTGAAGTGTCAGAGAGAAGAAGCAGTGTCAGCAGAGCCACATGAGGGCTGAAGCCATGCAGAAGGGGCCACCAGACAAGAGCTGTGGTTCTAGAGGGATGCAGCCATGCCAGGACCACAGCACTAAGCAAAGAGAGAGAGGGGCAGAAATACTCTGATCTCATTCCCTGACCTCTCCACCCCTGCTTTTACCTCTAATAGGCCGTGGCCGACAGGAAGCCAGAGGGCAAGAGAACTTGTGTGATGCAGTCCATAGGTCAGTGCCTGGACAGAGCAGGGCCAAGAAAGGTGGAGATGAATTTGAGGTTAGGGTGGGGACAAATGGAGAATAACTGGTATGGTGGGTAAAGGATATATCAGGGTCTATTTAGCTAGGTATAATAGAAATCCCACTAGAGTGTATTAGCCGAAATAGTTAACAATTTTTCTCATGAAGCTAGAAGTCTAGAAGTATGCAGTTCAGGATTGCTGCATTGGCTTAGTGGCTCGACTCAGAAGTGTCACACGTCGATTAGCTCACAGTCAATTAGCCGGATCCAGTTGCATAGCCCCAGTCTAACTGCAAGGGAAGCTGGGAAACATTCTCTCTTTCTGTTTCCCTGTCTCTTCTTCTTTACTAGTGGAGCCCACTTTTCACTACAGAGGCCCTCCAAAATGCCAGATACCTCTCTGCCCAGCTTCCCTTGTACCTGTGGCATGGAATGTGGCTCAGTCTTGACAAATGGGACTAAGAAGAAGTCTGTTGAAGGTCTTCTCAGAAATGTCTTTCTCCACAATAAAAATAGACAATGAAAGGGCTGGCCAGTTAGCTCAGTTGGTTAGTGTAATGGTGATAACAGCAAGATTTAGGGTTCAATTCCTGTACCAGCCAGCCACAAAATAATAACAGTAGTAATATAATAATAATAATAATAATAATAAATTTAAAAAATTTTTAAAAATTGCTCACCAAGAGAAAATGCTTCTCATTAGCCAAATATTGTCATATCCACATGTGTTGCTCAAAATGTGGCAGTCATCTTGTGACCATGAAAGGACAAATTAACAACATTGCAAAGCAGCAAGAGCCCAAGTCCTTGATGACATAACCAAGCTACTGAACCAAGGCTGCAACTGTCTTTCCTTTGGACATTCTGCTATAGGTGTTGTTTAAACCACTTTTCATCAGTGTTCTGGTATTTGAAGACAAAACCACCCAAATGATGCGTTTCTTTCCTACTTAAGCCAATTTGCTTTAGATTTTCTAGTACTAAAAAATAAAGAATTCTAACATGCAACCTGATGGTTATAGAAAATAGAAACTGTATCCAAAATAGGGAACAAGCTCATTGAGTAAACTCCATCCCCTCTTCCTGGGAGATGAAGCCTCTGCAGAATCCTCCTCCTTAAAAGGATATGGCAGGAGCTGACCTTGTAATGTCAAGGTAAAGGGTTCAGTTCCCCATACCAGTCAGCCACCAAAACATTAAAAAAAAAATGATATCAATACAGGATGTGCTCAGTTTCCCTAGGCTGGGGTTTCTGGACATGCCTCTGGGTGTCCAGCCACTCCCTGAGGTCTCAGGACCCTCCTCTGAGCTCTCCCCTGGAGGAAAGTTACTGTTGCCAGTTAGACCTATTTTTAGCACCAACGTGGGGGAAAAGGAGACTA